AGCAGATAATTTGAAGGAAGGATAAGTGCTAAGAAATAAAGACATACCTTCTTAAAGAAGGACTGGCTGTCAAGAGAATGGACTACTTTAGGTGCAGTGGTCCAAGAAGGCCTTCCTGCAGAGAGCATATCTGAACACAGACCTGGGATTGTCACAGGAAGCAGGAGTGAAGCATTCTAGGATGAAGAGACACTGAGCACAAAGGCCCTGACTCAGGAAGAGGCCTGGCCTATTCACGGACTCGCAGGAAGGCCAATGTGGCTTGAGGGCAGTGAGGGACAAAATGGACTAACACGCAAGTGTTGAGATGATTCCAGAGAAACCGGAGTGGGAGACGGCAAGTCGGATTCTGTAGGTCATGGAGTTTGGATTTTATTTTAAGTGCACCATGAAGTCAATGGAGAGCTTTCAGCGGGAACAAGGTATGATCTGACTTACATTTTAAAAAATCACTCTGGCTACAGTGTGAAGAATGGACTACCAGGAGGTGACAAATAAGCAGAGACACCAGTAGATGTTTCCTTACCCAGGGGAGAGAAGATGGTACCTTGGACAGAGCTGCTAGAAAAAGGCTGGACAAGGACACACTGTGAATACAGAAAAAGTGAGAAAGGGAGAGAGGAGGGGCAACAATCAAAGTGGTTGCCAGGTCTGTGGCTTGAACACTTGGGGGGACGGGGACAAAAAAATGGGAGAGGGCGCCTGGGTGGCTCAGTCGTTAAGCGTCTGCCTTCGGCTCAGGTCATGATCCCAGGGTCCTGGGATCGAGCCCCGCATCGGGCTCCCTGCTCAGCGGGAAGCCTGCTTCTCCCTCTCCCACTCCCCCTGCTGTGTTCCCTCTCTCGCTGTGTCTCTCTCTGTCAAATAAATAAGTAAAATCTTAAAAAAAAAAAAAATGGGAGAGGAACCACTTTGAGTGCACAGATCCCACACACATTCCATTAGATTTACATGTAAGTATTTTGGTTTGGAGAGGGGCTGCTGTTAATTTTTTTTAATTGTTAATTATTCATTGCTAGTATATAGAAATATAATTAATTTTTTATGTTTTGACCTTATATCCCATCATCTTGCTAAACTCAATTATTAGTTCTAGGAGGGGTTTTTTTTGTAGATTCCTTGAGATTTTCTATGGAGGCAATCATGTCACCTACAAGAAGGGTCAGTTTTGCTCCTTCCTTTCCAATCTGTATTCTCACTGTTCCTTTTTCTTGTCCTACTGCACTGGCTAGGACTTGCAGGAGTGGTTCCTGATCTCAGAGGGAGAGCAGTTTCTCACCATGAAGTATGCTGTTTGCTGTAGGTTGTTTGGAGATGCCTCATATCCAGTTGAAGAAGTTCCCTTCTAAGTTTACTGAGAGTTTTTATCAGGAGTAGATGTTGAATTTTTGTCAAATACTTTTTCTTCACCAGTTAACAGATAAACCCCATGTGGGCACCAAATCTGGGGAGATTTAGCCATTATTCCTTTGTATGTCTCTTCTGCACTGCACTATTCCTCTTCTTCTGGGTTCCAACAGCAGACAGTAACCTTCTGGTATTGCCCCACTCATCACTGAGGCTCTGCTCGACTTTTTAACTCTTTTTTCTTTGTTGTTCACACTGGATAATTCCTATTGCTTTCCTTTCAAGGTCATTGATTCTTTCCTCTTCGTCTCTATTTTGATATTGAGTCCATTCAGTTGAGTTTTTAAAAATTTCAGTATTGTATTTTTTTCCCTTTATTTCCATTTGGTTCTTTTTTATCTTTTTTTTTAATATCTTTTTTTGGGGGGGGGAGGGCCTAACAGTTTCTATCTTTTTTGTTTTAACACTGTTTGCTCTTATTTTGCGGAACATTTTTATAATAGCTACTTAAAGTCATTGTCAGATTATTCCAACATCTGTGTTGAGATGTTCCTGGTTCTTCACATGATAAGTAGTTCTGGATTATACCTTGGATATTTTGAATATGAAGTTATGAAACTTCAGGTCTTATTTAAATCCAGTGGAGAGGGGCGCCTGGGTGGCTCAGTCAGTTAAGTGTCTGAGTCTTGATTTCAGCTCAGGTCATGATCTCAGGGTCCTGGGATCAAGCCCCGTGTCAGACTCTGTGCTTAGCAGGGAGTCTGCTTGAGGATTCTCTCTCCCTCTGCCCCTCCCCCTACTCACACGCACCCCCCCCGCAAAATAAATAAATCTTTAAAAGTAAGTAAGTAAGTAAATAAATAAATAAATAAATCCAGTAGAGAATGTTGACATTTTTGTTCTACCAGGCTCTCAACCAGGTTGGATTTAGGTGGCAAGTTCTGACCAGCCTTCCATGGGCTGTGGTTTCAATGTCACTTCCAGTTTCAAAGCCTACTCAGGTATGTCCTCTGTGGGCGCCACCCACTGTCCAGTCTGGGACTCAGGCAGTGGTCTATCTTTCAGATCAGTTCTCAAAGTCTTTGGTATGTTGGTTAGAATCCGACGCATGCATGCACAGCTCAGGGGTTAGCCCAGAAGGTTGTAAGTAACTTTCTGGAATCACTTTCCTGAATTCTTCCCTCTGTTTTCTCCTTGCACCTTCCAGTTCACTAGGCCTCCCCTTCTTGGTTCTCTGGCCTCAAAGCCGGGAACTCAGTTACCACATTCTGCCACACATTTCTCAAACTACTCAAATCCAACCAGCAGGAAGGCGGAGGGAAAAAAAGCAACCGATTTCACCCCACCCTCCTGGGATTACACGTCCTCTGATCAGAGAGGAAGGCTTCCCTCCTTCAGTTTTAGGTGCTTGAAGACCCCATGCTGCCACTGAAACCACCACCACCACCACTACCGTGGGACTGCCTGGGGACTAAGGCACAAGAGAACACAGGAGAAGACAACCCCTGGAAGACTTCCCCTCTGCCTGAGCCTTAGAGCCCCTTTCCCGCCCCAGAGCCCTAACTAGAGGTCTTCTGAAATTCCCTCTGGTTGTGCCCTGATGTGCATTGCTTGAGTCTAGGACATGGGACACCAGGGGAAAAATGAGAAATTCACTGACTGTGTGGCAGCACTCTTAATTCTAGTCTTCTTCCCCAATCTGTCTGCTACTATTGATATTTCAGAGTCCTCAAATAGCTGCTAAATGCACCTGTCCAGGCCTTTAGCTGCATCCAATGACAGAGATTCTTATACACGTATCTTGTACACATATCCTGGTACATACAGAAGCATCCATTTATGTAGGGAATATATCCATGAGAGGAAAAGCCGGGTCATGAGGTATGTGTATATTCAAATTTTACTAGATACTACATGGTCTTTTTAAAGGGGTTGTAACCAGCTTACCCTCTGGCCAGTAGACTCAGAGCTTCCACTGTACCACATCATCACCAACACTGGAATAGCAAGCTTTTCAAGTTTTGCCATTTTAGTAGAGATGCGGTGGTATCTCCCTGTAATCCTAATTTGCCTTTCCCTAGGTAGCAATGCAAAATGCAATCGAACACCTTTTCATAAGTTTATTGGCCATCTGGATTTCCCCTTTTGTGAAGTGCCTACTTAGGCCTTTTTGTTTATTTCGATACTGGGTTGTTTCTTTATTCCTATTGATTTCTGTAGTTCTTCATTCTGGAAACATGCCCCTTGTTGGGTGGTTGGGTTATAAATATCTTTTTTGCAATCTGGATTGCTTTTATCACTCTCTTAATGGTGTCTTTTTGATTAATGAGGAGTTAACTTTAATGTAATAAAATTGATCAATCTTTTCCTATAAAAGTAGACACAACTTTTGTGTCTATTTAAAAACTTTCTCTCTGTCCACTCTCTCTTAAAGTGATCTGTCTTGTCTCAGCATCTGGGTGGAGTACATCTCAAGCATATGAGGTATGAGAGAGCAAGATAACAAGGGAGACAGTATGAGCTGCAGAGGTGGACAGATCTGAGTGGCCCCAGACAGGTTACTTTACCCTTCAGAGCATCAGTTTCTTTCATCTACAATCAAAGATACACTATCCACCTTGCAAAACATGTCTGAAGCACCTACCACGGTGTTGGCACATAGGAAGCCCTTAGTAAACAGGCAGAGCCGTGACTGCATTCTCTGAACTCATCTTTCCCCTCATCCACAACTGCCTGAACCTCACAGCTGCTTTGTGAACATTCAAGGACAGCAAAATGGATTAACTGCCCTCAGCAGGCCAGGCAAGCCTCCCTGTTACTCACAAGCAGCACCCACCATTACAAGAACCACCATCTTCAACTAAAAATGCAGGCTTGATGCCCAGAGGTGCTCTTCTCACACAGTAAAGCCATCCTGGGGCTCCCACACCAAAGTAATGGCAGCAAGTTGAAGACTCGAAGTGACGCCTCTTTCTGCTCACCGCCAACAGCACAGTGATGTGAAGCAGGGAGACTGCCTCCGACCTGGGAGAGCCAAGCTCCACCGAGCCGGAGGGATTTGGTGTCCAAGGAGTGGGCATGTCAGTCTGTGTGTCCTGTGCTGAGACACGGGGAAGAGAGGGCATCTGTGGCCCAGCACATGGGTTGGTACAAGTGCACAGTAAGTGCGCGTCCTGGGGCAGGGGTATATTTGAGCATATGGGGCGTGCGTGCAAACATGCAACAGTGCATGTTCTCAGGAAGCTGTCATACTCTCATCAGCCTGACACTTTGCTGGAGAGCCCTGATAATTATCTTCTCTAGCATCCCCAGAGCTTGGGGTCTCTCAATGCCTTCTGCCCCACTCTCTGGGCCACAATATGTGCTCAGAAAACACATACCCTTTATATGAGCCTGGAACACTCTGAATGAGGAGGGAGCATCTACCCAAACTCCTCCTCCAGTGCCCACTTTTAAAGCAACTGGCAAAGTCTTCTGGATGTTGCACCCCCTTTCTAGACCATGAGTCCCCAGAAAAGCTTCTGAAGACTTTCCCACCATTCTGAGATATTCCACTGCCCTCCCCAGATACCCTCCCCACAACCTCACCAGGCTCCACTTCAAATGTGGCCAAGTGCTGAGTGCCGAAAGGACAGAGAGGGAGGGATTGGTACCTGAGCCTAGTGTTTGTCCAGCGGAGTCAAAGGAAAGAACCACTGAATCTGCAACACAAGAGGACAAGTTCATTTCTTTCTCCTTCTTAGAGTTAAAAAAAAACACAAAAACCAAGTTCCCACCAACTCTGCCCAAACCCTCCCCCAAGGGAAAGTCAACTGGATCGGAACACTCAGCTGCACAGACAACATCCACAGGTCCATGCCCACCCACCCACTGGGCCAAGGAGGTCTTGCCGAGCCCAGGCCCGAGCCTTCTGCCACCGGGAAGAGGGCAGAGCAGGGCAGAGACAGGCCCCAAATTTTTCAGAGGCATTTCCTGCCAAATTAGGGGACATGTTTTTTTTCCCCCTTCTTAAAATGAAAATAAAATTAAAGCAATACAACAGAAAACTTCTCTCCTGCATCTGGTTAAAGGCACTAACATTTCCCTTTGACTTCTCCCTTTCTTTTCCTATTCATATACCCAACTGTTTATTATTTCTTCTCCCAAAGGGCTTAAAGTGGCCTACAGGAATTTACAGTACACACTGGAACTTAAAAATGAAGAAGTCAAGAAAGGAAGTATATAGTCAGGGGAATGTTAGTACACAAAATGCATGCCATGAGAACTGGAGGTAGAATCAAGAAGGCCGGAGCTCCCAAACCACCAAAGGAAAGGAGGAAATGAACAGTTGACAAGATTTAGTGCCCACAGTGCATTCATTCATTCGACCATTCAGTAAATATTTATTGGGCATGATATTATACTATAACTTTGAGATACAGCAGCAAACAAAGAAGCACGGTCTCCTCATGGATCTCCCTGCCATCAGTCTAAGAGACAAAAAAAGTTACCAAACAACAAAGCATCCAACTAAAAACTGACTAAGTAAAAAAGAGTGCTGTGAACATTCCAATTAAGAACCAGACCAAGGGGGCATCTGGATGGCTCAGTCAGTGAAGCATCCGACTCTTGATCTCAGCTTAGATCTCGATCTCGGGGTCATGGGTTCGAGCCCTGCACTGGGCTCCATGCTGGGTGTGCAGCCTACTTAAAAAATAAAAATAAAGGGAGGGGAAGAATGAAGCGGGGGAAATCGGAGGGGTAGACAAACCATGAGAGACGATGGACTCTGAAAAACAAACAGGGTTCTAGAGGGGAGGGGGGTGGGAGGATGGGTTGGCCTGGTGGTGGGTATTGAGGGGGGCACATTCTGCATGGAGCACTGGGTGTTGTGCACAACAATGAATCATGGAACACTTCATCTAAAACTAATGATGTAATGTATGGGGATTAACATAAGAATAAAAAAAAATTAAAAAAAATAAAAAATAAAAAAAGAACCAGACCTAGTTAGGAAGGGGAGTGGGTATTGTTTAGGGAAGGCTTCCCTAAAGAAGTGACACCTGAACTAAGAGCTGAAGGTAAGCAGGGGTTAAACCTAACAAGAATGGAATGAGCGTTCCAGGCAGAGAGATGGCCATGTGTGGAGACCTGAAGCTCGATGGAGTGGGATGCTTCTGAGTGACTAAAAGGCCAAAATATAAAAGCAAATACTAAACAGTCATCAGGAGGAAATTTCTCTTATGGGTCCCAACAATAAAAGGGGGACGCTGTATGATGTTGCAGACTGTAACTTCTACGGCATTTCTATAATAAGTGAGTGTGAATCTGGTATGGCTATCTCTTCCAACACGAGCTTGTACAAAATGATGGCATAAAGCCAATGTATAGTTCAATAAAAATTATAAGGAACACCAAGATAATTTAAGGCCCAAGACAACCCCGGATACCCCGGACTCCAAAGGCTCACTCACCACCAAGGAAAGCCAGCTGGATGCATATAGGACCAGGGTCTAGAGCCCCACTCCCACCCCAGCATTATCCTTCGGATCTCAGGTTGATGTCATTTTCTCTTATCGCACAAGGAAATCCAACCCAATAGTTACCTTAACTGTAAGTAACATCTGTCCCCACTGCTGGACTATCAGATCCATAAAGGCAGACACTGTACCTGCTTGATCCCCTGCTCCATTATCTGCAGAATGCCTGGCACTCAATAGCCATTTGCTGAATAACAATGCCTAGAGAAATGAATGGACCACAGATCTTTTTTTTTTTTTAAGATTTTATCTATTTATTTGACAGAGAGAGACATAGTGAGAGAGGGAACACAAGCAGGGGGTAGTGGGAGAGGGAGAAGCAGGCTTCCTGCTGAGCAGGGAGCCCGATGCAGGGCTCGATCCCAGGACCCCGGGACTATGACCTGAGCCGAAGGCAGACACTTAACAACTGAGCCACCCAGGCACCCCACAGATCCTTTTTGATAAGGATCCAGAGGCAGATAGTCTATACTGCCAGTTAAGGGCAGATACATATGCTTTGAAACCCACCAAGGAGATGACAGGGTTGATGTCTTTTTACAAAAATGTAGAAGCCCAGGAAGGACACTTGGCTGATCTGACAGGTAACCATCCTACCTCTGTGAGATAAAACCAATGTCTGACTCTTACAAATTCTACTTCTTTATCAACATTTCACACATCTGTCTTCTCTCAATGCTACTGCCCTTCCAGAAGAGAACCCCTTATTTCTCTCTTTTTTAAAAGAGCTTTATTGAGGTATAATTTACATACTATAAAATTCACTCATTTTAAATGTGCAATTCAATGATTTTTTTAGAGAATTTACAGAGCTGTGCAACTATCACCACGTGCAATTTTTCGACATTTCCATCACTCCGAAAAGATCCCTCCATGCCCATTTACAGTCCCAACACGTTCCCACCTCCAGCCCCAGGCAACCACTGATTCACTTATGTCTCTATAAATTTGCCTGAGCCACCCAGGCACCCCAATCATCCCCTCTTCCTGACGCCTTCCCTGGTCAGTTCTGCTCACCCTCTTCTTCAGGACATCACTATAATATTATCATGTTATTTCTCATAATGCCTGGTTACTTCTTTTCCTCTTATTAAGCATTTGAAGTTCCCTGAGGACAAGAAACGTGTATTCATTCTGAGGCGATGATGCCTCACTCAGTGACTGACGCACAGAAAGTGGTCAATGTGTTTCTTCAACAAAGGAATAAACCAGTAAATGTCCTTGCTTGCTTTCAAAGGTGATGTGACCTAAGTGGTATTTCAGGAGCTGGGGGAAAAAAAATCCATTCTGCATATAGATTCTCATTCGATTTAAGTCAACCTAACTGTCCCTCAACAGTGAAGCTTCAGGGGTTCAGGTGTGGCCTCCTCCTAGGAAAATAAAGGCATGTACACAAATCAGCGTAAGGGGAATAAGAAAAGTGGCCTCGAAGCTTCTAGGTTAGAGGCTGCAGCCACCTGGAGAAGATTAGGACCAGCTTCCTGAGGAGCTCACTGCCCACATGAGCAACAATAAAAACAGCATCTCGAATTTTTATTGCAGTTGACAAGTACCGTTCCAAGTGCAATTTACCTTCTTTGTACTCTCAAGCAGCCTTGAAATAATCTTTTTTAAACTTTTCAATATAAACCAAGAAGAAAGGCTTAAAATTAAGTGAAAGACTAACTAAAACTTAATGAGCCTAAAAGCAGCAAGATGAAATGCTAACAGTGGCTGTCTCTGGGTGAAAGAATTATAGGTAATGTTTCTACTCTGTGTTTTTGCAAAATTTGTATAGTGAACATGTATTACTTATAGTATCATCATAATAACAATTTTTTAAAAACTAAAAAAAAAAAAAGAACTCTCTAATCCACCTGTAGGATTTTAACCTCTAACTCACCAGTACCAACGCAAAAGGATGGAAGGTTCTTGATTGCCTTCATTTTTCACTGTACATGCCAAAAAGCTGTTCAGCTTTTTCCTGTAGTTACTGAGGTCATCCTTTTATTTCATGCCATTGAAATATATCTCAGCTACATCAATTCCTGAAAAGACTGGGCTTTTTTTTTTTTTAAAGATTTTATTTATTTATTTGACAGAGAGAGACACAGCAAGAGAAGGAACACAAGCAGGGGGAGTGGGAGAGGGAGAAGCAGGCTTCCCGCGGAGCAGGGAGCCCGATGCGGGGCTCGATCCCAGGACCCTGGGATCATGACCTGAGCCGAAGGCAGATGCTTAACAACTGAGCCACCCAGGCACCCCAAGACTGGGCTTTTAAAAATTCTTCTTCTTCTTCTCTTCCCTCTCCCCACTCCCATCCCACCGTACCCCACCCCCCGCCAATTATCAAATGTCAATTATGTGCCAGGCCCTGTGCCAGATACTAGAGGCAGGGGGCCGAATAAGAGCCAAGGAAGACGGACAAGTTAATTGACAACTAAAATAAAAATAAAATGGACAGGCGTACGTAAAGAGTAAGCAGGAAGCAGATGAGCGCCTTACTGGAAAGAAAAAGTCAGGGTCTTCACAGCTGTTACTTCCAGTGGTAGTGGACGGCTCCCAAGAGCACGAGTCTGTACTGCTGAAGATGTGAGTGACAGGGTGGAAATTTCAGGAGGAAGTCAGTGACATATTCATGTTTTGCGTAAGCTTTGATGGATTTTGCTTTGAGCGTTAAAGGCACAGACTTGAGAATCAGTTTGGTCATTCATTATTTGTGTTTATTCTAAAGGATGTAAGATCATTTTAGTCATAAACCACTGTGACGGCTGAAGCGAAAATTCGGTATTCAACAAATCAAGAAGTTTGTTTTGCAAGAAACAGAGCAAGAATATCCAGGCTTCTCCCTGTCTGGCTAACAAATATGTCATTTTTATTTCGAGCAGCCCAGGCTCCAGCTGTTCCTGCTCCCAGGCCAGAGGCAGCCATGTGGCACGCTACACAAGTGACCAAACAGAATTCCAGACCAAGGTACAACACAGCATTGCTGTGCACAACTTTGTTCAAGCAGGAAACCTAGAATTTACTGGAAATCTTTTATTAGGTCAGATGTTTCCTGCGTCTGGTTTTTGAAGCGGATAAAAGGAATAGAAAAGGAGGAGGAAGAATGGGGCTTAGTCTTTCCAGTCGCTGAAGGGGCTTCCAAAGCTCAAATTATGTGAACAAGCTGCATATTTGGGTACGAGGTAGCAGTCCCAGTA